AGTGGGGGGTGGCGCGGGCGGCGTGCACGGCGGAGCGTAGCTGGTTGCGGGAGTGGACAACGCGGCGAAGGAAGGCGGGCGGGGCGGGCGGGCGCCGTTCCCGGATTTCTCCGAGATGGAGACCACGAGGCACACGTGGGTTCTTGCGCGGAACGAGCGCCTAAGGAACCCAAGCTTTCATGGGGCGCCGCAGCCGAGGCATGGGGCAGGAGAAGACGTGAATGGGCTCGCGCTGATGGCGCGCGTTAGAGCTCTTACTGTGCAAGCAGACGCGGGGCGTGGATTGCCGCATCTGCGAGATTTCCGCGGGGCGCGCGGGGCGCGGGCGGAGGCGGCGATGGACTAGTCGAAGGTAGGCGCGCCATGTGAGGAGACGAAGAGGCACGTCTAGAACTACATGGGCGTCGTGGACCTGCGACCAGCAACGGGGGGGGATCTCGCGAAGCACGGGGGCGGACTGCACAGCGACGAAGAGTTGGGCCCGAGAATTGTCGACGCGGCCCCCAGGCGGAAGACGCGCGTTGGGGGCGCGCCGTTGGAGAGGGAGGACAGGCGGACAGACGCAGTCGCGGAGAACGAAAGGGGGAAAAGTCGAGGGGCGATGGCATGGGGCGACGCCGCGCGGGGCGGAGGGGGGGGCCAGAAAAGCAGGACATGGAAAATGGCGGGGACAACAGCGGCGAGCAGCGTGAGAAGGTGGAAACATGGGCTTGCGGATGACGGCTTGAATGCCGGTCAACGTTGCATCGCGGAGAAGGTGGCGGGCCAGGTCCTGTCCCAGGAATTCTCGATGCCCACTAGTGGAGAGGAGAATGGTCACATAGCTGCAGACCTGGAGCCCCTCTTATGGGCGCTTCATGGCGGCCCGGGGACCGGGGGGGGGCTTCGTCGCGGCAGGATTCGGAAGGGTTTGTTTGCAAAGGGCGCGTGGTGGACGCGCGGCGTTGACTTCCAGGTCGCAGCTTTGCAGGCCACAAATGCGCGCGCCCCTGAGGGGGGCGCGATCCACGGCGCATTTGACATGGGCGCGAACGAGACGAAGGGTTCGAGCGCAGGGGGCGGCGGAGACGCAGAGGCGAACAAGAAGATGAAGAGGGAAGTGGCCGCGCAGCGAATGTCACAGTGGAAGAGGTTGATTGTCGACGAGGTGAGCATGGTGGACGCGAGCTTCCTTGTCGATCCGCATCTGCGGTCGTGCATGTCAGCAGCGAGCCACACGAAGGTAGTATCAGATGGCGCAGACAGGCCGTCGGAGGCGTGAACGCGTTGTCCCGCGGAGGGTTTTGTCAGTTGGAGCCGCGGTTGGGAACGGCAATCAATGCGTAACCCGCATTGCGCTTCAAGAATGCGCGGAAGGACGCGCCCGCTGCTGCAGAAGTCCACGGGCAGCATATTATCTTGGGAGTAGGAGGCGAAGGGGCAGTGTAAGGAATCATGGAGCTGACAGAATGCAATGCGCGTGGAAGACGAGGACGATTGGCTTCTCGCGGTGCAAGACGAGTTCTGTCGTGGAGAGATGACTGAGCGAACGCGCAGTTTTTTGCATGGGGGGCCCACGGACGCGCCAGGGTCGCAATCGAACGGCGCAGCGAGGTGCAGGAACGCGCTGTCGAGAGAACCTGGAGGCAACTCGGAAGAACAATGCGCTGGAGTGTCGGGCGTGCACAGCGGAGCGGGAGAAGAGGGGGCCGGTGGCGACGTCGCCAGAGGGCGCGCGATTTCGGGAAGAGGGATTTGTGGAAGCCGTTGCGAGTTATGCGAATCAGTACATTCGTTGCCACGTTGGGAAGCAGAGAGCAGGTGCAGTGGGCGAGGGAACGAGGGGGGCAGATTCTATGGGTCGCAGCGCGAGATCGCCCGTTCCATGGAGGAACCAGAGACGGCCGTATACCGTGGAAGACAGCATACGTTGGTTGGGGTACTACGAGAAGATGTGCGCAAGTATTCCGGGATGGCTCTCGTTGGCAAAGGGGGTGCCTGCAGCGCTTGGAGATCATTTGGATAGGTCGAAAAAGGAGCTGCTACGGGGGCGCGCGGCGACAATTCATGGGCGGGTAGTGCGCGAGGACGAGGTCGCGAGGGGCGAGAACGAGGAGGCATTGTCACATTTGCTTGGAATCATTGCTTTAGACTTCCATGCGAAGGAGTGGCGCTTGCCAGGGTAGGGGCCGGGGCTGTATCCAATTTTCCCATCGAAAGGGCGCCGGTGTTTTTTGGATTGGCATCGGAAGCGCCCAGCGTCGGGCGCGAAGCGCACGCAGTTTATGATCGCGCCAGCGTTGCCCGTGGCGGCGCACGCCGCGCAAGGACGGGCACTGAGCGCAGTCGTAGCGGATGTTGAGAGAGGGCGCGGCGCAAGTTGGATATCCAGTTGCGCGGCCATTGCGCGAGTGCGAAGGCGGGGGGGCTTTTTGATATTCAGGCTTTTTTCCCACAGGAAGCCCTATAACGAACGGGGGCGGTTGAAGCGAATGCTGACGCGCGCAGCGCGCTGGGGGGAGTTCGCCCAGCAGCAGCGCATCAGCGACGAACGAGAGAGCGAGCATTCTACGAGGAAGAGTAAAGTTACACGCGCAGGTTGCATTGCCGATGGGCTCGCGGCGCGCAGTTGGCAAGGGCACCAGTGCAATGGCAAGTGCCGAAGGAAATTGCCGAAGTCGGCCTTCGCCGTGGACAGTGGCCATGTCGCGCGCGACGAAGAGAAGGGCATCCTGAAATGCGAAAAGTGCAAGCATGTTCCTGCGCGGGCCTGTGCCATGGCCCCTAGATGTAGGACCCGCGGGAGTGAGGTCGAGAGGGAGGACGAAACGAATGAAGATGAGACGCAGGAAGCAACGGCGGGGGTAAAGGGCGACAGGGAGGATGGGGGAGAGGGGGAGGAGCGTAAGGATGATGGAGGACATCGGAGGAGGGTCAACGGAGGAAGAGCAGGAGGAGTCGCGGTTTGGTGTTGGGGCTTGTACCCCGGCTTGCATCGTGCCTAGTGCGTCATGCAGCGCCGCATCTCTCGCGTCTGCTATCTAGTGGCCTTCAGCCTATCCCGCCAGCGCGCCTGGGTGTTGGGTCGGAAACCTCATGTATATTGGTTGGGATGTCGTGGTTGGCCTCTCGGGGGCCTCAATTCGGCAGTTTAGAGGCGTCTTGGGGGCCCTTTTTGGGGGAGGGGCCTGTTTTAAGCCTTTTGGGGTTCCTCTTGGGGTGTTTGGGGGGTTTCTTGGAGGCCGACTTTCGGGGCCCTCTTGAGGCCTCGTGGGCGAGTCTTGGCGCGGAAGGGTGGATTTGTCAGTTCTTGGTCCCCATTTTGGGCCTCTCCAGGCCCCGTCTTGAGGGTCTCTTGGGCCGTCTTGAGAGCATCTTGGGCAGTTGGGGCACCCTCTTTGGCCGTCATAGGGGCTTCTTGGGCCGTTTTGGAGGGGTCTTCGGGCCGTCGTAGGCGGTCTTGGATCAGCGGAAAGGCATAAGGTCGAGAAGCCCAAAAACCTGGAAACAAAACAAGGAACATCAATAATTGTCGCCTCTTGGGGCCCTCTTGGGAGGCCTTGTGGGGGCCTCTTGGGGCGATTTGGCGGCCTGTAGGGCCGTCTTGGGGCCATCTTGGGCGTCTTGGGGCCATCTTGGGCGTCTTGGGCGATCTGTGGGTTCTTTTGCGCCGTCTTGGCCTATTTCGGGGCCCTTTGCCCCTCCATGACGCGTTCTGTCTGGGGTCGTCCCCGGTCGCTCGGTCCGGGGTCGTCCCGCGCCCAGTCCGGGGTCGTCCAGGGTTGTCGTTTCGCTGGGCACGTCCTTCATTAAATGATATGTTCCGAATGTGTCCATGATGCGTTCCGATACGATATTTTTTTCGCCCACGTAAGGTTCGAGTGCGTCCCAAGAGAGGCCCCTGGATGACCCCAAGACCCGCTCAGGAGGGCCCCCCGATGGCGATTTCTTTCAAGACATCCTCAATCAAATCAGATGTTCTCAACATCGTCTCAACAATATGGGCGCCTCGTTTGCGACATGAGCACTGAGAGTTTGGATGAGCTATTCCACGGCATACGTTCCCATTTCAGTAGGCGTTTCGATCGAGACATCCCCAACACATCAGATGTTTGGTGAGGTTTGTGATTGTGATGTTCCCATACATGTAGCCGTATCTTTGGAGGGATTATGAGCAAATTGGTTGTTGGAGGAGTTGTGTCAGGACAAACCTGTTAAAACCATGATGCCATCGCAGGGGACACCCAATGCGACCGGCAATGCACGCGTCACACAAATCACTAAACACGAAGAGCAACCACAAAACACCACACAAGGTACACCGCACACAGCACATGACGCACAATACACACAAAGACCATGCCACGCAACCCACAACGCACAACGTAGCACACTCAGCACACAGGACGCACAACGCGCAACTCGCACACCACACGCGCACATACCATACGCCTCCCCCCACTCCCCCCAGCCCGCCCAGTACACATTCGGCAAGCTCAACGTACGCCCCGTTCTCTTGCCCGTCCAGTGCAAACACGCATCACTCTCGAAACACACATGCACAACATTCCCGCATAATCCAAAACCGTACACACAACTCACAAAGTAGCAGCAGAGACATAAGACACACAACATAACACACACAAACACACACGCACACGCACACACACACACACACCCACACACACACACACACACACACGCACACACACACACACGCACACAACTCATGACAAGGCACGGCATACCAACACGGCAGACAGCAGGCAACTGACCAGCACGTGACACCACAGCAGAAAGGCATACACTTGGACCAGTGCGGGAAGCAAACCACAGAAGCAAGGCAGACCAACGCAGAAAAGCACGGCAGTTCATTCGCCCACGGCAGACCATTCCGACCGCAGCAGCAAGCCGACAGAGCAGCATTGCGGCAGACCAACACGACGGATAATCTTCACGAGCCCAATCTACAAGCGCGACGCTCCCCGTTTTTGCTTGGTCAGGTCTGCGAGTAGTCTTTGCTTTTCTGTTCCTCCAGGCGCCCGCGACGGATTCCTAGATTGCACAAAGGAGCTCCAACGGGCCAAGATGTGCCCAATACAGAGCTCAAGAGGGCGCCAAGAGGGCCCCAGTGAGGGGCTCAAGACAGCCCAAGAGGGCCCACGGACGGTCAGTAGCCATTTTGGCTCAAGGTGGCGCCACGCTTCGTCTGCTGCGTCTGAAAGCCAACGGTGCGCGAGCGCGAGGCCACAACGACCGAGCTTGAACACTCTCCACGCCCACCCATGAGCAGCAGGAACAAGATCCAGGGCGGCAAGGCCGCCGACGCCAGAGCCGCGATCTCGGAGCCGTTCGCCGACGTCGTGCGCTCGGTCGTGCGCGGGGAGCTGGAGGACTGCCTCGGCGGGCCCCTGCGAGAGCTGCTGCGGACGGAGCTTGCTGCGGCCCTGCAAGGCTCGGCGCCGTCCGGCACGGCGGGGGGCCCTCCCGCCGGCGGCGGCGGCGGCGACTCCACGGCGCCGCCTGCCCGGGGAGGGGCAGAGCTCCCCACGGGCTCGCCTGCCACGGCGGACTGCCGGGTGCCAAGCCGATGTGGTGCCGAGGCAGTGGTGCAGACAACAGACTCGGACGGGGACGGTCAGCAGTCCCCTCAGGCTCGGGGCGCGGAGCGCGAGGAGAGCCACGGAGCCCTCATGCTCTCGTCCCTGAAGAGGCCCCCTGCCAGGCCCAGCCTCAACAGCAGCAACAGCAGTCTCGGGACCGACGTCGACGCCAACCTGAGCGAGCTGCGGAGAAAGATCATCTCCAAGGCGAGGGCGCTGCTTGAGAGGCTGCGCCGCCGCGCGTGGTGGCTGGACGAGGAGCCGCAGCGCTCGGGGCGGCTCGCCCAGTTCGTGGATGGCCCGGGCTTCGAGCTGCTGATGGGCGCCGTGATAGTCCTCAACCTCTGGTTAATGGGCCACGACGCCAACGTCAAGATCAGAGACCCGGCCGATCGCAGCATGCTGGCCGCCGACGTGGTGTTCGTGGTAATCTACTGCTCCGAGGTGGCGCTCAAGCTCGCCGTGCACAGGGTCTGGTACTTCACGGGAGCCCACTACAAGATGAATGCGCTCGACGTGTTTGTGATCGTCTCGGAGTGCGCCGCTCTGGTGTTGGGCGCGGCGCTTCGGCTGAGCTTCATGAAAGTATTCCGCTTTCTGAAACTCGCAAAGGTTATCAAGGCATTCCGGCTCATGGACAAGTTGAGATACCTACATGCTTTCATGACGTGCATCCAGGGTTCATTCACGAGTTTCATGTGGAGTGTGGTCATGCTTTTCTCAGTATACTGGGTATTCGCGCTTTTATTCATGCAGGTGATCACCACTCACATCGACATAACAGGAGAAGCTCTAGATGATACCGCATTTGGCGAGCTATTCGGTTCGGTCGACCGTTCCGTCAAAACGCTTTTCATGGTAACCACGGGTGGCGATGACTGGATTTCCACGTACGAAGTGATTGAGGAAACAGGTCCGATTGGAAGTTTCGTATTCTTAGCATTCATTGCGTTCGTGAACTTGAATCTGCTCAATATTATATTGGGTATATTTGTAGATTCGGCGATGAAGGTTCTCTCACCAGATTCATACACGCTTGCCCGCGAATACGTTCGCCGGGAGCGTAAGCACACCGCGGAGCTCCACAGCCTCTGCAAGGCTGTGGACACCGACCGCTCAGGGAAATTGACACAAGAGCAGTTCATGTTGGGGTTGACTAAGAAGCGTCTCCCAAAGTTGCTCATCATGATGGGGCTGCAGGAGCACCACATCCTGGAATTTTTCCAATCGTTGGCCAAGCGCGACGGCGGGCAGGTTGATATCACAGAATTTGTTGAAGGGTGCATGTTGCTCAAGGGGACCAGCACCAATTTTGATTTGCACAAGCTGCGCGCGGAAACCCAAGTCGCTCATAACAAGATCATCCATCTGTTACAGGGAAATTGACACAAGAGCAGTTCATGTTGGGGTTGGCTAAGAAGCGTCTCCCAAAGTTGCTCATCATGATGGGGCTGCAGGAGCACCACATCCTGGAATTTTTCCAATCGTTGGCCAAGCGCGACGGCGGGCAGGTTGATATCACAGAATTTGTTGAAGGGTGCATGTTGCTCAAGGGGACCAGCACCAATTTTGATTTGCACAAGCTGCGCGCGGAAACCCAAGTCGCTCATAACAAGATCATCCATCTGTTACAGGACATCTCTGTGCCAGGCAGGCGCGCCGCCATCGCCGCAGCAGAGGCCCCGGGGTCGCCATCGTCGCCATCCCCCTGGCCGCCTCCTCCCCGCCGCCCCCAGGGCGCCGCTTAGCCTCTGCCCACGCAGGCACTCTCGCCGATGAGCTCGAGGAGCTCCGCTAGACCCCAGGCCCGAGGCCTCGTCCACCTCCACCCCCCGCGACAAACGGGTGGTTATATGTGTATATATATATAGGAGGAGGAGAAGGACTTCGGCATTGGGGGGGACACGCGACTTCTGGAGGTCTCTTGCCATCGAGGCACGGCCACCGACGTTGAGCCGGCCCTGGAGAGGGCCCACGTATCGTCAAACATCACGACGTCGGAGGTCCGGATTTTTTCTTCGCGCGAGTCTGATGCTGTAGAGGCGCGGACCAACCCGCATGCCATAACGAGGGCATGTGCGCCAATTTTTGCCAGCGTGCGCCTCAACCAGTAGGTCCTGACCTTCTCGATTTGCTCCGCAATCGGCATGGTCGCTTAGGGTGCTGTCGGCGGCTTCTAGAGGGCATCGCGACCGTATTTTGTGTGCCTTGCCCGTGCACGTTGCCTGTCTGGATGGAGAAAGGACGCGCAACAAGCCAAGAGGAGGAGGTGGAGGAGGAGGAGGAGGATGAGGCCACCTGTGCGCGCTACCAGGATCTGCTCCCAGCCCTCGCACAGCGAGGATGGCCGCGTCGCCAGCCGCCTCGCCAGCGTCCTCGCCGGCGGCATGGTGGTGGGATGGCGGTCGTGCTCGTGTCCTCCCGTCCTTCGCTCTCGGCCTAGCCGTGGCTGCCTGCTTTCATCAAGGCGCAAAGACGCCCTGCCAAGCCGAAGCATTCGCTTTAGAGATTACACAGCCCCTGTGGCGTAAGTACTTCACACTTCGTCAGGGTTCCCTGGGTTTCTTCGCTCCGCGCGCTGCGCGGTGATTTCCTGCGGCCGTTAAAAAAAAGAGGGCCCACGGACGGCCAAAGACGGCCCCAAGAGGCCCAAAGAGTGCGCACGACATCCCCAACACAGCCCTAGAGGCCCCCAAAATTGCTTTGCTGGGCCGGGAGGCCCCAAGTCAGATCCAAGCGACCCGTGAAGAAACCTCAGACCGCATCTCCAGCATGCGTCCACGAGGCTCCAAGGCGGACTAAAGACGGCTGGAGGTGGTCCAGAAGCTCTTCAAGAATGCCTCCTAGAAGCCAAAGTCATCAAGTCCGAGACACTGCCGCTGCGCCCCAGAGGGGTTGCCTGGCCTTCGTTGCACCACGGTTTGGCCCGAGATGCTTGGCCAGGAGGGAGGGGGGGGCGGCCTTCGATGCACCGTTTCTTGGCCCTCGTTGCGTGCGCTGCGGAACCGGACTACGGAGTTCTTCCTCCGGTCCTCGGGCGGATCCAGAGAAGCGCGCGAAGCATTGAAGAAGCCACATGGTTCCCTTGCACGCCGCCGATATTCTACAACTCGATCGCCACGGGTCCCATTGCTAGCGACTAAGGAGCTCCAGAATCGCCCCTGCTTTCCTCATCGGCAATTTGCAGAGCGAGTTCCTCGGGCGAAGCTACAACCTAAACGCACGTGGAACTGGGCTCTTCTGAGACATGAATAAGCGTGCGAGAATACAGCAAACGATCACTAAAACAAACATTGAAAGGATTGCGGCCAGTCGAGAGGTCCTTGCGAGACTGACGTAGCCTCTGGCAGCCGTTTTGGGACGATCAGTGCGCCTCTCGGAGGCATGTTGGAAGCCATCTAATGCCATGTTGGGCTATAATGTGCGATCTTTGTGGCCCTCGTCGGAAGGATCGAAATGGGTACGGAAATGACTGGGACGAAAACCATCCGCAGTCCGGGTCCATTTCGAACAGGACTCGTTGTCGACGCCGCCGAGGGCGGTGTCCATCTGAGACAAAAGGTCGCTTGCCCAAGAGCGGCATCTGTCGGTTATGGATATGTTGTTGGGCGTGCACGGTTGGGGCTCGTGGACGTTCTAGCTCGTCGCGACTGGGAACCTCCTGACCCAGGGGGATGGCGCAGGGGGAGAGGTACATTCTCCTCGAAGGGAGAGAGATGATAGAAGAGCTAGCTCTCTGAACCCTCAACGCCCTCCTTGAGAAGTGCTGGAACTTTGACAGGCTGTGTCGAAGAATCGTCGGGGGGACTTCCCTGAGGGAAGTTTTCTCATCCCAGGTCCTTTTCTGACGGTCCTGGGCCCGAACGCGGCCCCTGGACCCTGGAGACCAATAAGTACGAAAATGCGAAGGCGACGAAAACGAAGAGGTCGATCCACCAAGTTGGACGAGGGGGCAGGGTTTGTACTGTTTACTGTTTATCCAAGGCCGTCATCCGCTCCCACGAGGTCAAGCAGCTTGGCTGGAAGCAGGACCATCCGCAGTTGTACACCGTTTTCAGTTGCCCCGACTACATGGATGCGGGTGGCAACCAGGTCCGGGGGTTTATCCATCACCACCGCTTGGGGGCTCGATCTTCGGGGACCTCGGCAGGCGGGTGATATGGATGTATTCGCTCCGGCCCAAGTATGTACATCCACATATAACTGCCCGCTTGGATCCCAGGACGTCGGTTCCACAGGCGGCGGATATGGCTGTATCGCCGCTTCGCTCCAGGGAGCCTTCTTGACATTGGAGAACGACGGCAGCAGCCTATCGATCAAGCCAACCAGTTTCGACAAGACCCCCCACCCCGACCTGAAGCCGATGGTGTGGCAGGAGTACATGATGCAGGTCAACCCGCACCTAACCAGGACCGAAGAAGACAACGGCATAGCCAGAACCTTCTGGGGGTCCGCGAGGGTTTCAGGGGCGGCGCCGGGGACGGTGCCAGGGGGTCAGCGCACATCCAATAATCCGCGCGATGCGTAGAAAGCTAATGTTTATGCCGCTCGTTTCTTTTGCAGGAAGATGAAGAAGAAGACCGGTCTCATCTACGACTCGAACGGCATGATCGTGGGAGAGATCAAGGACACGGACCAGGGCGACAGCGACAGCGGACAGTCAATGGTGGACGAGTGGGTGGAGGACGAGGACTATGCTCGTGCGTGAACGAGTCGGTCAAGGCCGTTGCCATTGGGACGCCTACCCAGACCCCGTCGCGTCTGGAAGACATCACGACGGGAGTGCTTTTCCTGTTTTGGGGCTCTTAGGGCCATCACCGGGCCCCGGGACAGTCAAAACGGCCCAGCATAACAAGCAAGTCCCAGGGAAGGGGTCTATACTTTCTGGGGGTCCACGGCATGAACAAATCATGACGCGGGGCGTCTGGGCATTCAGAATAAATCGTCCGAGCTCCTTGCAGACTTCTCGGATCGGCGCTGGACCCCCCTGACGCTTTCTCATGCGCCAGCCCCTAGCGCGCTCCTCGTGCAAGGGAATGGGGTCCAGCGCCGATGCAAGACACCTGCGTGGATCTCCTACAGTTTATGCCTGTGCAGTTTTTTGTTCTTCTTGTCCGTATGCAATTCCTGGCAGGCTACATTCACCATCGGCGCTGGTGTATTCGTGGTCGGACAGCGGCCTAGTCTGGCATAATCCTTGTTAAGTCCGCTTATGGCATAATCCAGCCTAGTCTGGCATAATCCAGCCTAGTCTGGCTTGATCCCGCTTATTTCCGTCGAATGCGACGAACCCAAGGGTCAATCTGGCCTGATCCCGAGCAGTGGCCTTTAGATGGGGCCCAATAGTTCTGCGTCGTTCTGACGAAGACCTCCCAGGAGTTGCCTCCTGACTCTCGCGCTTGCAGCCTCGCGTGGCCTGCCGGCACACCAGGGCAGCCGCGTGGACCCGCAGGCCAGGGCGGCTCCCACTTGCGGTGGTGTTCGGCAGGCGCGCGGCGCACGGTTTTCCGGCCCGCCGCTCCAGGGCGGAGTCCCTCGCACCTGGCTTTCCCCCATTCGGGGGGACGGCCCGTCTTTCGAGGGGGGAAGCACGGGGACCTGGAGGGTTTCTCCGAAGGGCTTAGGCGACCCGTCCTCCCCCTCCTCCTCCTCCTCCTCCTCCTCCTCCTCCTCCTCCTCCTCCTACTACTACTCGGGTCGCCTACGGCCCCGGGGGAAACCGTGCACGGGGACCACGACAAAAGATGTCGCGGGGTTTTGCGGATGCCGATCTTGGTCATGGTCCGTGTCGGCCGTCGCCGGTTCGCGACGATGACCCACGAGTTTACGCTGACCGAGTTCGACGGTTACCAAGATCGACGCGACGTCCCCGCTTGCAGTATTGGTCATGGTCCACGTTCTCCTCCCCTCAAGTAAGCCAATTCTCCGCGGCAGCTTGACACAGAGCAGGCGCTCGACTAAGTAAGGCAGTTGTCTGTCGTGTCGGCGCGGCAGCGACCACAGCGCGGGCTGTCGAGTTTGAGCGCTGCACGTGGCGGGGACTCGGCTGGCATCGAACGATTCGCACGATCGGAAGCCGAGATCGTTCAAGGTTGAACGTTCTTCGCGGCGTTAGAAACCAAGGCCGCAGTCGACACGACACGATCATGCCTCAGATCAAGGGGCCCTCAAACGACGTGCTGAATTGTCGTTTTGGGACCTTATCCGGGTCCTTTATCTTGCGTCTTGCGCCAAACAACCAGTTTGCAGGGTTGTCGCTCGATGCGGCGAAACATTCCCGATGCTCCACCCAGTGTCTAAGTTTGAGGGGCGTCGTGAGTCTCACAGTCATTTCTGGGCCCCCTGATTAGGTCCCTACATTGCGGGCAGAAGGACAATTGGTTTTCAGATGGAGTGGATTCGTTCACTTCATTTCGCTGAGAGTAACAGCCAGGGGGATGGAAGCGAAAACGTAGCGCCAACCAGCAGCACTGGATTCCAACTGGCGTGCGTGATAGCAGCAGGTCTTTCTATGATCCGGGGCGGCCAAGCGCGGGGTGGTAGATACGGGGATCGCTATCACGCCCAGGGCCACGACACCTCTCCGGGTTCCACGGCCCCGCTCCCGTCTTCCAATACGTTCTCTGGTCTCCGCGTCCGCGCACATGCTTCGGGCCACGGTCTGCGAGCCCCCCCTTTGTGGACGCCTCCCTCCTTGGACTGTGATGGGCGCCCCCGGAGAGCGAGGTCGTGGAACGTCCGGCGAGGGGCCGAGCATGTGCTGGCGGCCGCTGCGCTCGGCCTTTCGTCGCCCTGCCCCGTGGCCAGCCGCTCGGCGTGCTGTGGTGTCCCGTGCAAGCTCGGGCACGCTCGGCACAGACCACGATCAGGAGCTGCAGAGGAAACAAAAATAAACATCGAAGAAGAAGAAGCACCAACAAAACATCGGGAGTTGCAGAGAAGAACGCACCGTGAGTTGCAGAGGAGGAAGCACCGTGAGCTGTAGCGAAGACAAGCACATCGAGCGATAAGAACACATCGTGAGCTGCAGAGATAAGAACAGTGAAGAAGAAACAGCTGCATCAGCATCAACTTTTGGGGGGCTCCGTATTGATTTCTGGGATCTGCGCCAGAAGGTCCCTGGCCGCCTCCGGAGCTGCCCTTAGCTCGCGCCGCGGGCCAGGCAGGGGTCAGCGCAGACCAAAGAAATCCGCACAGACATCCAAACATTGATGCTTATGTTGTCATCTTTCTAAACAAGCATGCGGATGGCAGGAACGGCACGGAGACTGATGTTTACACATCTTTGGATTGTCCATGACCGTTGTACCGCTTGCCTCGGGCCCCAGAAGCCGTTTGACTTGTGTCATCAGACCCCCCCTCGCCGAGCCACATTGCACAATTCTGCTACATGTTGACAGTCAGGGGGCCTCCTTGGGCCATCTTGGAGCCTCTTGACAGAGGAGCAAGAGGTAATGATGATCATGATGCGTCCCAAGTTTTCGAGGATTCCTCCCAGAGTTCCTGATGTCCTACGCAAGCTGCAGAAACGAGGGCCACAAGATTCTATAGAAACCTTGGAACTCATCCTGAGCGAATCGCAGCATGACCTCATCTCGTCCTATGTCGGGGACAGCCTGAGGCCCATCGAGCCACCTTTGTGGTATGTTGGGCAACATTTTAGCTACCCTGAGGCCTCTGGGGCTCATCTTGGGCGCGCTCGGGTCATCCTGCGACCTTTTCTAGGCCATCCTGGGCGATTTCGGCGGCCTTTGGGCATTCTGGGGGAGGGAGGGCGGGGAACAGCAGAGGAGGGATTCCGTCCCTTGAGGCGTCTCTTTTTTGGGATCGGGCCCAGGCGGCTTGAACCAGATGGCTACGGCATGAGGCTTGAGTCTTCCCTGAGATCCGACGTTGCGAAACAATCGCAGCACCGTGAAAAATCACGACCAGAGCCCTAGACCCGTCTGTCTGCAAAATTCCTCTGGGGCTTCCACATGAGGCCCGAGAGGCGACGCACTGGCGATGCCGGCGTAGAAAAAACGATCTGCACATCGAGCCCTTTGGGGAAGTTGTCCAGACTTCCGGGGGCCTTCGCGGCGAACAAGTCGGAGAGCTGGATGTCCAGGACAAATTCGAGGCACCCCCAGTTGGGTCCGAGCCAAAGGGGTCGGAGGATCGCGCCGCATCGCCGATGCATCGGCGATGCGGCTCGATGTGGGGCGGGGCTTTGGCTTTCTCCACGCCGGCGGCGCCAGGGCATCGGCGATGCTGCGCGATCCTCCGACCCCATCTGCTCGGACCCAACTGGGGGTGCTGTAGTTTGTCCTGGTGGGCGTTTTTTATTCATTGTTTTGCCGATCGGCGCGGGCCCTCGCACCCCCCCTCCCCCCATCGAGTAACTGTTTTGGGCGCCTTCGAGCAGGTGGAGACCCTCCCCCATAGGACGCACTGTCGCAAACAGTCGCACTAAGCAGAAGTCTGGAGCCAGACCCTCCCCCCTACCCCCTTTAACTCCCAATGTCGAAACGCCGAATGAAAAACGCTCACCTAGACATCAGCGCTCCGATTTGTTCGTTGCGAAGGCCCCCGCAGTTCTGGACAACTTCCCCAGGGGGTTCGATGTGGAGCTCGCTCGGTTTTCGCTACGCTGGCATCGCCAGTGCATCGCCTACGTCGCTGGTACATCGCCGACGCATTGACGATGCAGCTCGATCCTCCGACCCCAAACAGCTTCCACAGGGCTGTTTTGTTCGTCCTGATTCATCTCTTGACGGCCCCAGGGCCTGGCGAGGGTACCCGGAGGCCGACACAGGGCAAACATTGGCCGCAAAACCGGAGGGCCGCGGCCTCGGCTGCGCCTTCGACATCGGGCGGAGGGCGGGCGACACACTTGCGCCGGCCATGTTCCAGTTCAGCCACGTCTGGCATGGATTCACAGTTCCCACTGCATACTGCTGTTTCGCCTGCTCACCGTTCGGCTCAAGTTTTTGCACGCTGCCATACCCTTTAGAGCCAAGGCAGGGCTCTACGAGGTTGCGTGGCCAGGGGAAGGTGTGTCCGATCTGATGGAGCCCATGGAGGGGTACGTTGTGCGAGGGACCCTTATTTATCGTGCCAGGATTTCGACGGAAATGTAACATCCATTGGAAGGTAAACATTCGTTGGAAGTGATTTGAGCAAGCAGCGGAAGACGTAAGGACCCGTTGGAATCGAGCCCAGGCTCCTCTGAAAAGCGTATGTTTTTACCCCAAATTGCAGATTTGTGAAGAAGGTCAAGGTTTCTTAGCGTTGGTCGTGCCCTGTCTGGCCAGCATCTCTGTACGGTCCCATCGTCGGATGAGCATTATTGATTATTGAGATCGCAGTAGGTAAGCGCATGCAGCAGAGGGGAGCATGCATGGAACGCGGGCCAGGGGTACATCGATGAATTGGAGAA